GCTATTATTTTGCTCGCTCCTTTCTACTTGCGAGTCCCCGTCAACAATTTTCCGTTAAATTTTTTCTTAACTCGTTAAAAGCGTCGCATCGTTACTCTTATAGGACCTATTACGGTAGTACCTGGTACGGCAATACTTGCATTTTCACGTAACTGACAAAACAAAAATTCGCGACTGGCAAGAGAATTAATTGCCAAGAGAATAGCTTAACGTCCTACACTCGTACTATTGGACACGTATTGGACAAATACAATCGTTAGTCATGGAATTAAAGCATTCGATCACGGGAATAATATTTTACAAATGCGTGGAGATTTAGATCTTTCAGAGAATTGGTTAAGCGTTATTATTTAAATAAAAATATAATCGTCTCGGTACTTGCATTCAAATAGTCTTCGTTGTCTAGATACGCACGAGTAAAAAAATTTTGCACGATGCAAATCGTTTAACTCGTCTTTTACAGACTACCAGACCCAAATGACTTTTATGAAGATTTAAAGAACATTGAATGGAAGTTCATTGTGACGAATTTCTAACAAAAATGCGTTTCCGGTATACGATATATTAATACCAAGTCCATTAATCGCATAATCCTAATTGAGATTATAAATTCATGGATATTAATGCAGCCTGTAATGGTAATGTATAATGCACAATCATATGAACATTTTTGTCATTTTTTCTATTTATGTGGTATGATGGTTGGGTCGATTTATATCCGCTTAATACTGTTGCGATAGTATTTTTGAAATCCGGGCCCTCTTGTCTCGCTCGATATTCAAAAGTGAAATGAAAAAGATTTATCGCGTTTGTCATAGATTTTCATTTTAAGGAGATTACACTTTTTGCTTAATTTTATGTAAACACGCAAAGTACAGTGGTGAGTTGTTGTTGTTGTTGTTGAAAGCAATGTATGCTGCGATACTTTATTACACACGAGTATATATATAAAGTTTTCGTGGACATTAATGAGCTGTGCTATCAAAAATTACGATGCTAGTGCATTACTTTAAGTCTCAAATGCACGAAAATACGAAAATATCGACGGTAATGTAATCTCTACGCGGATTATGTTTTATGTATGAAACATATAGGCAACTATTAAACTATTATAGCGTAGAGTATTACCGACCGTCATAGCGTACAATTGGTGCATTCATTGATTTAATGAAAAAAAAAAAAAAAAAAAAAAAAAAAAAAAAAAAAAAAAAAAAAAAGAATGAAAAAACACTTAAATTGCATTAATCATCGCCCTTAACCGACACATGAGCATTGAACGAGAAAGGCAATTCTAGATAAACCGTTATTATATAACAATTGTATCATTAACCAACCAACCAACTGTACTTTATGCATGGCAATATATTTTCGTTGGTTCGCGAACTTAACGTGTGCAGCAGATAATAAGACTTTTATTTTACACTAACGGAATGATAAAAATTGTGCCCGCCAGAGATTAAAAAAAGGACAGGTAGCGCATGAGAATCCACATTTTATTTCTCAATAAAAATTCGAGTATTTCAAACTTGTGAATTATCGAGTAGCATTAATATGATAATAATAATAGACTTTATAAGTGCGAAAATGTTATGATTTCCGATGCTGTATTCATTCTATTCTCTGGCAAGAAAAACGTAATAACAGTGCTTTTTTTTTTTGCGAAAATAACATCGACTTCGTTTCATAAATATCAAGCGGAGTTACGGGGATCTTGATTTTTTTCTTTTATCGGAAAATTCTTATTCCTTTTTCTACGTGCTTCAATGTGCAAAGAAAGCATCCAGTTGCATATTTCCCATTATAAATAATATTAACCCATAATAAATAAATAATATTATCGCGCGGATAATTAACCTTAATCAACATTACACTGGCATGACAAAAACTTTTGCGCGAATGCACGCATTGGATGAAGAGTAAGTAAATTTCAAAAAAAAAAATAATCATAAAGTCCCAGAAGCGCGCGATATTTCTACGTGAAACACAACGAAGATAAAGAACCCGCAGCCTGACTTGGTGCAATAGTGCTCGAGGCAGTTTCCGCCGTGCCACCGACCTGAAACAGATGCTTAGGGCGAGCGTTAAATTTTAAAACCCCGAGGCGCCTCTCGTATTCCAAGTGCGCTTCCGCGACTCACACGCAAAGCCCCGCGATTATTAAGGAACGCGCGCTGTACAAAAGGAGAGAGACTTATCTCTCATCCGCGAGATTTACCTCGGCTACCTCAACCGAATGTACGATGTCAACGATATCTGCCGCGAAGTCGGGGCGGGGTTTCTCCATCGAAATTCGAAATCGAGTCATATGGCGCGCGAGATCGATACGAATATCGTAACGAGTGCCCCGTAACCCCGGTGACCCCGTGCTGTTAGGTAAGCCCGTGGACGAGTCCCGAGGTTGCGTTACCATTGGCCACGAGCCAAGCCGTCGCGACGCCTAACAATCCTCTCGATTCCCGGGCGTAACTCAATCACTGCTCGCGCTAATTGCAACGCCCGTAAACTCGATTGGGACATTTATCGTGGAATAGGGAGCATAGCGATAGGGAGATCGTGGATCATCGTTGCTGCTTTATCGAGCATCGCTGCAAATTTTCCTCGTTCCTTCGTATCGAGGAGCTTCGGATGTCACGGCTCTTAACAATAAAGTCCATCTGGATTTTCATAATGCAATTTGTCGCCAACCGAGCTGTGTCGATCCTCGAATTTAAATTGGTTGAATTTCAATTAGATGTTCACTTAAAAACCCTGTGTTATGTATTAACGATTGGTCGTACATTATTTGAAGGCTGACATTGGCTGGCAGCAAGCTGCAAAGAATCTAATTAGTTGGAACGGAAAATTTTAATACTTAAATTGCCAGGTTATTCGATTTATTCGTCATTGGTTCGTTGATTCATTATTAAAGCATAAATTATTATCATGATAAGATGTATCTGAACAACTACGATTAAAACATTGAGGCATAACTTAAAAATTAAAATGCCCGATATCTATATTTTGTTAATATGCCATTTTTTATTCGCACGTATGGTATATTCGAGCTTACGCCAAGCTCGACTAGATATTATAATGTAATAGAAAGTTAATTAATAGCGATAATGCAGCTCGCGTTGAATGAATGAAAATTTGATTTTTCGTTTGACAAGTTATTTTAATAATAGTGTTAATAATAGAATTTTGTAGTAATTCCCGCTGCGTAATGATGATTAATCATCTTTCATATTATTTGCAATATCATTTTCCAATTCATTGAAGCAATTCGGGTACGAATGCTCGGTACACTCGATTATCGTACCCGACCAATCCATTAAAGATTTAGTGTATTATTAAAATTATATTCAAATATCTAATTTTACATAACGGTAATCGGGATTAGCGCAAACATTCTTTACTTAAAATGTAATTGCTGTAAATAAAACGCTTTTTCACGAAATGACATTCCATTTGAAAAAGCAATGAAATGTCGTACTTCTTATATGCGTTTCTGCACAAAGGAGTGTAAGCTCGCGAGATTAGATATTATTTTGTATTGTTGAATAGTTCTGTAAATGCTTAAAAATTACAGGCATCGCAGCTCTTATTATTGTAATATGATAAATTTAACTCACAGTTTATATACATTTTAATTTAAATCCTCTTTCCTTACGTGTAAACACGCTCAAACATACCTTTGTCTCTCTTACAAGCATTACAACATTATCAATCTTAACGAATACTCGAGTACGATGCTTTCTCATACTCTCCTTAACGCCATGTAAATGAGACAGTCATAATGACGTTTAATTTTTATTTTTACTCGCTAACTGCGAAATGTCGATTTATCACTGCATACAATAAAAAAAAGAAAGAAAAAAAAAAGAAAACGTTTTTGGTAAGCTCGTTGGTTGTCGCCCATTTCTCATTAGTATTTATCATGCCATTTGCTCTCCCCCTCTTCGTTCATTAATTATAAATTATCGCTCTTCTTATCGATGTCCGTCGGTAATATTTACTTAAACGTAGAGAACGACAAAGTTTAAAATCAATTGATTAATTTCGGTATGTCGGGCATCCATCCGATACCTTGACAATTTTAACTTGCAACGCAATAAATTACGACGCTGCGTTGCTGAATTATTCAGTGGTTAATCGTTTGAAATGTCGTTCGGCACACCGGTAGCGGCGTGTTTAAATAATATTCCAAGCCCTTCACAGCCGACAATCGTCAAAGCAACAATACACAATACAACGTTATTCGATGTTAATTGTGAATTTACAATGCACGCCGTATTTTGCCCAACACACCGCTCAACACCCAATAGGCAAGTACGCGCGCGCGCATTAATAACATCAACTGACAATTGTCCTGATAATTATATACGTCGGCCAAGTATCCTGAAGAGGTTGGGCCGGACGAGAGCCAGACGTATGGCATATGATGCCGAAGGCCGAGCCGAGGCAACCTTAGGAACGTCTGGCCATCGCCACTCATCTCCCATTACACGTCCCGCAGAGCCGTACCGTAAGAGGACGTTGTCACTTGCAGGTGAGCCGGGCGCGATGAGCAGCAGCAGCGGTGCCGGGGGCGCCGCGAGCTACGGCTTCGGGGTCGGCCTCGCCGGTGGCACGAGTACCGCCGTGGCCCAGCAGGGCCAGGGTGTCGCAGCCCTCCTCGTCATGCTAGCCGTCCTCTGCTTCATCTTCGCCTACTGCTGCTGGGGAGCCCCGTTCTGTCGCGCCCTGTGCCGGCGGCACTGCTGCTGTCGCCTCGAGGACGGCGACTCGGAGTCCGGCTGCCCGGGCTCCGGCACTACCAGTAATCCCGATCAGCCGATCCTCGCCACGCCGACCATCATACTCCTGCCCCACGGCCGGATGCTCGTCGTCGACGGGACGATATTCACCCAATTCCAGGCGGAGAGCAGCGGTGAGAGCCTCTCCCCTCCATTACTATCTCGTCACGTATAACGACGTATATAAAGAGGGAAGTTAGCGAATGGCGCGGAATGGGGAATTTCGGGAGGATTGGTAGCGATTGAGGGAGGGGCTGGAGAGTAGGGATAGGATACGGCGCGCCCTCGCGACTGATGGATTAAGCGAGACAACCGTATGATCGGGCCTTCGAGCAGCTTATCCTTAGCGCGTCTCATAGGCGTTATTTCGTAATTCGTCACACGCATCGTCCAGGAGTTTTGGGTTGAACGACGTCTGGCATATTATATATTATCCCACGGCTCAGCACTTGGCGCCGACGCTTTATTTACTCGAACATTTTTTTTTCTTCCTCTTTACCGATAGGACTGGATTTGGTGGAGCTCGGCGAAAGTGTGATGCGCGCACAGCGAAACCCCGTAGCCGTGACTCGCCATCACCAGCACCAGAACAGCCAAGGCAGTATAATTGAAATGGACGCGGAAACACCGAGCAAGGATAGCATGGGCTCGCTCGGATGCTTCCCGCCACCCACGTACGAGAGTATTTATGGGAAGGACGAGCGGAGGGATATGCCACCGTCCTACTCCGATATACTGCTGCACAGGTACTTGATGCGAGATGGATTCTTATCGACGTCGGATTATCGATAAGGGACTATGATTGAGCGTAGGAACTTTGGTAGAAGGGAGAAGCGAAGGTGGTGATGATCTTTGTAGCCGCGAGGACGATGGCATGGAATTTAATGTATTTCGAATTAATCGATATCGAACAATTTCATCGCGTTAATTTAGTCGCCGCTTCAATCATCGGTCCCACCATTTAATCCCTCTATTCACGAACGTCGCCAAAAATCTCGCGTAACGCTCGGGTTGCTCGTTTCAAATGACATCGGAGGATATCGATATCCTCGACGAATGACGATTGAAGGTGAAAAGTGACAGCAGCCCGAGTGCTACGTGACTTTGATTTCGGGCGCTTTGGAAGAGAGGAATGCCAATGCGACAGAGTTTGGCTTGTGCATTATGCCAGCCTCTCTCGTTGCTCCATTCCGAAGATTTGTAAAAAGAATGAGAAAAAAAAAAGAAAAAAAAAAAAAAAAAAAAAAAAAAAAGACGTGACACGCGTGTGCAGATTGGCGAACTTGCCGTTCGAGATCGAGCTCCAGGGCTACGGACGCGACAGCAAAGAGGACGTGATCGAGATGCGAAGTCTCGAGGACTGTCATCCAGTGGGCCAAGGCCTTGTCTACCCGGGCTACTCGAGTCACAGTTTACCGCGTAATCCTTCGCTTATCACCAACCCCCTTGACAGCTACTACGAGGAGTTGGCGGGTCTGTGCCGAGGCCAGCGGCGGCGTAGCGCCGCCGCCGAGATGATGGAGAGACCAAGGAGGACGTCCTGCGGGGCCAGGACCGACGTTGAGGAGTACTCGGGTACGTACTGGTACTTTATACCCAATAGGTCTTAACGATGATGTAGTAAATAAATCGATACTTTGAAGGATGACAATCCTTTAATCTTTTTGTTTTTTGTTTTTTTTTTGTTTTGTTTTTGTTTTTGTTTTTGTTTTCAAACTATGGGGTTAGTTGAGGTGTGCAGCTTTAAGCGAAATCAATTCGCTTCCGAGATTGAAATATTTAACATTTCTTATTCCGAAAGCCTTCGTTTATAAGTCACATAGATCTTCGACTGAAAGGACATATTCAAAAATTGATTTGGATCATTAAATGTGAATTATGCAGCACGAAATACGAATTCAATGTTACGATTACGAAGGTCACGTGAGCAATTTAGACATTGCACGTCCTTTTTAAATCGTTACAAAATTAAATAAATTTTTCTAAAAATATGATGCGGACGGAGGACCTTTATCCTCATCGTTATTAAGACTTATCTACGAATTATTAATCCTTCTCTACGCGGCTTCCATTACGCATATAATAATTTATTGTGGCCAATGAGCTTAGGTGCTTCGATTAAACTTTTATTGTGCGATTAATGAAATGCGAAGCTATATACGAAGACCATTGTTATGAAAGTTGATATTTTTGGAAGCGATGCTTGGGTCGAATTTTCATGAAAGCCGCTTAAAATAAATATTATTAAACAGGGTTCGGTATAAAATTGGAATTATGTACGAATACGATAAAAGACAATAAATTTTAATTTATAACGAACGAGTTATGGCTTAAAGGTATTGGATAAAAATTCTGCTCGTATTCTACACACACCTTTGAGTAGTGATATTTATACTTTTCGTTTACATTATAATTATAAGACTAGTACTTTTAAAGTAAAATTTATTATTCTTTAGTATATTATGAAAAGTAATTTTCAAGTTTAGAAGATACCAAGCTACACGTTACCTTCTATTTGATGCTATTTGAAATATCCCATTACGTTGCAAATTGCTATTAATACATTGAAAACTAATGAAACTCTACCACCCAGTACTACCAAATTTTACAATACTAAAATACTGTAAACTTATATATATATATATGTATAATGTGATATAAATAAATGTCATCTGAATAATAGAGAATCGTTATTTTAATCCTCTTGTGATACATAACGCATTCAATAATTAATGAGCTATTACGTTAATTTCCAACTTTTATATAGTTTTACTTATTTCTTAGAAGCTAAATATATATATATCAAATGGAAAAATATTTTGCAAAAATGTATATTTTTGGAAACATTCCTGCAGCAAGGCATAAAATATTTATAGACAAATAATTAAGAAATTAAAAGAAAATTTTTCTTCCAATTACAGTTGTACGAAGTATTACATTAATTATTTATAACTTTCAAGAAGTCACACGGTTCCTTTAAAGCAATTAAATTATATCAAATTATAGTTCAGTCGAGAGTGCTAAATAAGTTTTTCACGTTTATATAAATACAAAGTACGAGTTAATAATAATTTATAGATGTCGTCCCAGATCCATCATGAATAATTAAATGGAGAAAATGCAATGTTTTTTATTCGGTTTTAAATGTTATATATTATTAGATCTGCATGAAAGAACGATAAATTAATTAAAAATGCGAATAAAGGTAAAAATGAGCCGAATGAGACCAGAGTGCGAATGAGAAAAATGATTGGATAGACATTTAAATTGTTCGAGTATCCCGTAAGTTATTCACTAAGGCTGTTAACATAGTAAATTACCTTGAACTTCCTGTTAAATCGATAATAGATAGTAAATATAAGATGGTTGAATGGTTGTATCCAGATTATATTTGCGAAACATATTATCATATATTTTTTGATTAATTTCAATATTAAATTTTGTAATTATTATATATTTTAATAAACTATGAAAATAATAACTGCCATTGCATAATACAGTGTATAATGCAAATTGTAAAATATTTTAAATACTTACAAAATATAGGGAGAATAAATATGGATCACTTTAAAATAAAATTACTTGCAATAAAATATAAATTGAAAAGCGGAAGAAAGAAAATGTTAACCGTGTAATATAAAATTAACTTTATCACTGTATCCAATATTTTTAAGGCAGTTATGTAAATTAGTGTAGGATAAACATCTTGATTTAATATTAAAAAATAGATAGAATTTAGGATTTTTGTGTGAGAATCGAGAAGTAAGAAGCTCTATGTAAATTAATATAAAAATGAAATGATAATATGAATTTTGATTTAAAGTAAGTAGTGAGTGGATATAAATTGAATATTTTTTTCAGGTTTTTGATAAAGCAACGTGGACAATAAATTTTATATACAAGAAGAAATTAAAAACACTTGTTATATATGTTAAATATACTTTAACGATATTCGTCAATTTATAAATCAATGATAAAAAGAAAAAAAAAAACAGAAAAAAAATGTTACTAATTTTTAATTTTTTTATAAAATTTGTATTAATTTAGAAAAATACTTTCGACATTATCTAACAATAATTTCATCGCTTTGCGTTAATTTGAATTAATTAGCGATTAGTTTTTTTTTAAGTATATAACAAAACACTTTTCCAAAATTTTATTTTTAATAAGCATACCGAAAAACTTTGCACATTCTTTTAGTAAAAAAATGTTAGCACCGAGTTCATAGTCATATTTATGAATTAAATGTTGCAAAATCCAAAATTGCAAAAAAAAAAAAAAAAAAGAAATGACTTTAATGAAATATTTACCATACAACAAAACTACTCCCATCTATTATCATACATTTGCAATATAGGATATTAAATTTTTCACAGACAATAACGTAGACAATCGATTTCGCCACCCTTGGAGTCAAAATTCCAAGTCACAAAACGACGTAATGAACTCAAGAAATAATGTCAGAAGTGACTCAAGAAGGAACGAGGACTCGATTGAAAATCTACCAACGGAAAATCGAGTTTTCACAAGACCTAAAAGGTCCGAGGAGAGGATGGAAAACGAATCGGTCACGATGTATCGAGAAAGCCGAATATCAATGGATGAACAGAACTGGGATTTCGATAACCTCGACGTAAGATACACAAGCGAAGAGAGCGAGACCGATGGCCGTTTCAACGGACAAAACGGGGAAAGCGAAGAAGCTTCTGCCGAGGAAGATCCTAATAATTTTAAGGCTCTAGCCGATATACGTGAGAGTAGGGTTTGAACGATTTTCAAGGCTCGACGTATGATGTTAAGCGAGTTCGTTCGTTTAATTACGAATGCGAATTGTATGAGGGATTAACGTAAAGTAGCACGATCGATATAATTTATAAAGTTCCATCGGGGGATAATGATTTCCATCACACATTACCAGAACAATGCATATGCGCGGTTTATCGGACATTATTTTTATAATGAATCAATGACTTTTGCGTTTCCTTTTTATATGTGTACAGTATATACGACCAATTAGATAATTGTTCAAACCTTATTTTTTACCAAAAATGTTATAGAACAAAAAAAAAAAAAAAAAAGAATCGCATAAATTATCAATAATGGATGTTAATATGGTACGTCCAAAGACTTACCAATCAATTCAAGTGCGCAATGACCGACCAGAATCCATATTTTAGCTTATTTTTTTAAACGATGTCAAACAATATCAATAAAATGGAATTAAATTCGGCAGATCTTCACGGGCTACTCTGGCAATGAGAGACACCGATACATTATTATAACAATATTACATTTAACAGAGCGTGTTTATAGTATCATCCGACAGAAACACAATGATTATATAATTATCACAAGCTTAAAGGATATTGAAAAATCTATGGCACAAATATATCGTTGTATATGTATGTACATGAAAGTTAAATAGTATTTGTGTAATGTATTATCATCATATGCACTATTAATTATTAATGTTAGCGATAAACTAAATATGAATTAACTGTAATATGTGGAATAAAATATAATGATCTCATGTTTCCTTTTAATAAAAGCTTTAATAACTGAAAGCCTTTTATTATTAATACACCTCGTTCGTCATTCTCACCCGAGAGCCGCTAGCGCGCTCCTTTTTTTTTTTTTTTTTTTTTTTTTAATATTCAAATCAAAGCTAAAAAAGAAAAAAAACTAAACCATTCGTTTGCGACATCACTTTAATTTTGCATTTTTTTTTTTTATTTTTTTTTAAATTACCTACATATAGCTGGAAAAAATTTCACTTGACATCCCTGTCTTTGTCAATAATTCTTTTATTAGCGCATTAACATTACTATTGCAAATTGCGCATATTTACAAAACTTTAACTTACGTATTCCATTCAATTTCCTCGCTTGTCCATTTAATATTGCCCGCGGCATATACGGATATCGAATTGAGAGAAAAGCTTCTTCTGACAAACCAATAGTATCGTAGTCACCACAATTGTTGCGTCATTTACCATTGCATTGGCGATCGTTATTTCCATTTTATTTCGGATATGGCGTTTCATTTCTTTAATGTAGCCATGTAAACGGTGTGATTCAATAATTGTGGATTTTTAAGAGTAATTGCTCATATGCATATATATATATATATATATATCTGTGTATCTATATATATAGGTGTTGTATGTGTTGATTTTAGAAAACTTTAAAGTATACGAATATTTTACGTAAAAGTTTTCGTCGGTGTTTTTACTAAATTATTTATTTATAACGAGTATAAGTGTGATGGAAAATCCAAAGGAAGACAAGGAGAACAGGGAAGGTGAGCTATATTCGCTAATTATTTTATACATTAATATTTTGCGTACTATGATGATATTTCACTTTTTATTTCAATGCACATATGTATATATATATATATATATATATATATATATATATATATATATATATATATATATATATATATATATATATATATATATATAAGCGTGTATACAAACTTTTAATCAGGTTATACGAAATTACATTACTCCTATTGATTTTGACTTTCTCCATTTGACATGATACGTGCGCTAGATAATATTTCTAAACATATCTATTATAATTACAGATGGCAAAGTTGAGAATGAAAGTTTGAGCTCATCCAGCGATGAAGCTGAAGAACAGGATTCAGATTCAGGAATAAACAAGTTTAGTGAATGTTTTGAACAAACGATGCACATCTTCGATCCCAATACGAGTGAAAATAAATTCAATATTCTCAGTGAATTATCGTTAGATGGAATTGTTGATTATATAAAAGATAACAAGGTTACAAAAATTATAACAATGGCTGGGGCTGGTATATCAACTTGTAAGTAAATTAATTACAATAAGAATTGGATATTAAGTAATATTTATCATTAAATGTGTAATCGATATTCAATCATATATATATATATATATATATATATATATATATATTTATTTATTTAATACATTTAGCTGCAGGAATTCCAGACTTTCGTTCTCCAACAACTGGATTGTACGATCACTTGGAGAAATATAATTTACCATATCCACAAGCAATTTTTGAGATAGAATTTTTCAAAAGCAATCCCAAACCATTTTTCGTGCTTACAAAGGAGCTACTTCCCGAAGGATATAAACCAACAAAATCACACTATTTTATACGCTTATTACACGAGAAAGGATTACTATTGCGACATTATACGCAAAATGTAGATGACTTGGAAAGAATGGCCGGATTACCAGAAGAAAAATTAGTCGAAGCCCATGGAACATTTCATACCGGCCACTGTTTAGACTGTAAAACTATGTTCAATTTGGACTGGATGAAATGTGAAAAATCTTTGGTTATATAAAACATTCTATTACTTTATTTTATCAAGTACTTTAATCATGTTTTTTTAATAACATTGTTTTAGCAAAAATCAATGAAGATATTATTCCAATATGTGAAAATTGTAATAAAGGAGTTATTAAGCCTGATATAGTTTTCTTTGGAGAAAAGTTATCCGAGCGATTCCATACATTACTCTCCGAAGACTTTGTATTAGCGGAACTTTTGATAATAATGGGTTCAAGTTTAATTGTTCAACCTTTCGCCTCGCTTATAGATAAGTAAGTTTGTAATACTGATGCACACAAGTGTGAGTTGGTCCAAACTAATGTACAATCAATTTTTAAATATTCTAGTGTACTAACCGATTGCCCAAGATTACTCATCAATAAAGAGAAAGTTGGAGTTGAAAGTGATCTATTAAAATGTTATGGTATCAGTAGGGGTATGAATTTTGAATCTGGGCGAGATGTTGCATGGTTGGGCGAATGTGACGAGGGCTGCCAATTACTGGCTGATAAACTGGAGTGGGGAGTATGTAGTTTATTTATATTACAACTACATAGTATACATTATAATTTTATTAAATATTTTGAATATTTCATTATAGGAAGAATTAAAAACTCTTATGTTGGAAGAACATCGACGTCTGGATAGCGATGCTGTAAGTTTATGTAAAATTTTAAAATCATCTGTCATTATACTTATATTTATTTATTTACAGATAAAAAGAAAGGAGAAAGCCGATGTTAATAGCGATTAATAGTATATTAAAACAGATGAACCTGCAAATCTAAGATTTTAAGTGAACAAAGCAGCAACAAGAAAGTGTATAAAATAATGATAAAAACACTTATTTGTAAATAATTGAAAAATAATTACAATAAGGAAATTTTTAAACTAATCTTAGCTTTAAAAGCAGACAATAGCAGTCATATTGGTATTATATAAGTATAAATTATTAAACAGATTACCAAATTAAAAATTAAAAAGAAAGAGAAATTTGAGTTTAGTGATACGTATAACATATTTTACATTGCAATATGTTTATGCCTAAATTTAGAAAATAATAAGTCATATATGATTATATTGCTAATTTTTATATTTTAATGTATTTATAGGCAATTTGCGGTTGTTAATTATATAAAAATGCGCAGGTTAACCAATGAATGATAAACCATTAGAGGAATCAACAATATTTAATCAATCAGACAAGAACGTGATCATAAAATGAAAACAAGTGAGTTAATGTATTTAAACTAAAGATTTTAAATAATTTAGAAATTAGTCGGTCTAGAGCTGTAGATATAAATGACGATATAATGTATAATAATCCATACTTGACGGCCACATAGATTTTCAAATCGAGGCTTAATAAATGTCCAAGCTCCTACGTTTTGTAGTTCCTCTTGATTCCAAATAAAAGCTTATATATATTATTATTATTATTATTATTATTATTATTATCATAAGGTAAGCTCAATATAAAATAATAGTATTTATCACTAACTAGTATCACTTTACGGACTGCATCCTCATTCACCTTGTTATCGCATCCTGCCAAATACATACAATGTTTGATTAATGTTTAAAATTTTGAAAATACATGCTCGGATCATCGTATATAAATGAATCTTAGAGATAATTGGAATCCAACTTCATTGGTATATCAGATAATATATGCTTCATCGTTACTCTTCGAATTATTCACGAGATATTTTGAGCTTAATAACTGTAAGATGTGTTTTCATTGATGTAATACATAGATTTATATAAAAAAAAGTAAGTAATTGGAAAGGAATTGTAAGGTTACGCGATGGTTAATAATATTAACTGAAATATGTGAAATAAAATATGATCTCATCTTTTCAAATTTTATTAAAATAAATATTGTATTCTCTTTCAATCTTTGATCTCAAGTATTTGTAAACACTTGTAATACAAATATATCAATATTGACTGTAGTTTACAATTTATAAAATTATACTTCTAGTTTTTTTTTCAATCACTATCCATTTCTTCCGGAGGTGATGAATCTTCGTCGGAACTTTTGTTATCCTTGTTCCAATCTTTCATTTTGGCTCCCATGACAAAATCGTCTCTCAAAACACTCCAAACCTCATTCTCCTAAAAAATATAATAGTTTTAGAAATATTGTACATTTTTACCAAATTAATTCTATTTGAAAATTTCAATTCTAATGTCAGCGTAAAAAGTACAATTTATCGACTAAACTTTTTTAATAAGATTTTTTTGAATTAAAAACAATCAATTATTCTATGTAGTTAGAACAATTGAATATATAAAATCATTAAGGATTAAAATCAATCGACATACTTTTTTTGGTTCGTCTTCTTTGTCAAGTTTTTTTGCACTATCCTCTACCAAATTATTAGTACCACCCATTAAAACATTTAAAAATGTTTGTCTGTTAATGGATTTTAAAGCCTTTTCTCTTTTCCTTTCCAATGGTCCTGCTTCAATTATTTTATTTTCAATATCTTTTTGCTGCTGCTTCACCGCATTAAACAGTTGAACAACTCCACTAAAGAAAATTAATTAGTTGTTATACTTTCTATTTGGGTATCTTTCGATTACAATCGAATGAAAACCTTAATGTTTATCTGATTATGAATTTACCTACCTAGTTGCAATTTTTTGTAAACGTTTTTCGTAGTCTCTGTCCAATACAGATGGTTTTACTCTTATCTTCTTTCCCAAAATTTTTCTCCTTTGCTTCTTTTGTGTGGCAAGATTTTCATCTTTTATAATTTTTTCCGTTACTTCTACCGTTTCTGTTTTTATTTTACCTTCGTTCGTCTCAATTTCGAACGGCAGTACTACTTCTTTAGGCTTTGGTAATATCTCATTTATTTTCTTGGCCTTCGACAGAACTATAGATTTTTTTCTTTTTGGTTTCTTAGTACCTAAAACCTTTTTCATAGCATCTGCCCAATGAGGATTATTTTGATTCAATGTACTATTAACATTATTTAATTCATCGTCGTCGTTGGCATCGGATTCATCTCCTTCCGCTCCAGAACTTGTTTCATCGTCGGTAGTAATATTTTTTCTGTTTTCCAGTTCTTCATTAGGACTATCAGTTCCAGCTTTTTCTGCATCCGAATCATCAAATTCTTTAGAATCACTGTCTTCCGATTCCTTGACCACCGGTACTTGTACTAAAACAGAATAAGTACTAAGCAATATTATAAACAATCGAGTTGTTTTAAGAACGATTTATCGCTTTAATTCAACATAAGACATTTTTGGAAGTCCATAAACAATTACTCACCCGAAACTTTTTTAAGTGACTTTTTATTCTTTACAGACACATCATGGGCTATCATGTTGAATATTATTCTAATAACTATAGACTTTAAATTATGTACAACAAATGTTTATCTATATATATACATATATATATATATATAGATGTGTGTATATATATATATATATATATATATATATATATATATATCTATAAATATATAGTTATAGATATATATGTTTATGTATGTATTATATCCGTGTCGCAAGCATGGTACATCTGGAATTAAAAGTTTCAGAGATCAATTCTAACGTGTAGAGTATAATTTTGTAAGAGTCGCATGTAATTTTTCGGCATCCATGAGGTATTGCGTTCTTTAAAAAAGTTTGTCCATACAATTGGACGAATCGAAGTTTCGGAAATTTTAGACTTGTCCATTCCCCCCTCCCCCCCCCATTACAGGCCGCGCCAACTTCGAGCGTAATTCTACGTATTTCGCAAAATATGTAAATTCTGCTACAAAGCATAGAGGTAAATTTAAAACAGAGACTTTATAATACTTGTTCTGTTATTAATTTGTATTAATAATGAAATTAAATCGTCCATATGAATTAAAGCGTGAAATAAATAAATGAAAAATAGATGTGTCTTTCAGGATATACATGATAATTTAAGAGTGAAAGACACTTGTCTGTAAGACTGAATTATTATTAAATTAAGCGATAGCTTATGTTACACAGAATTATAAGACATGATGATTTTATGGGATACTGTGTAAATACTGTGAGAACCGTTACTCGAAAAACTTGTAATTTAATTAAAAAAATTGTATGCATAGAGACAGACTGATCAATGAGCGCAAAATACGAAAATGCCAATCATTACGAAAGATTCGTAGAAAGGGTATCGAAGGTCAGTTAAAATTCGAGAAGCAATGGGCTTTTATGAATTTCTAATAATTTTTTAGTGACTACGACGATTCGATATTATTACAAAATATGTAAACTGTTCGATCAATGAAATTCTTATTATAATTTACCTACCATTGCTGCTTAATCATTCTTTTCGTATTCACGATTTTTTTTTCATTCCTAGACAATGGCAAAATAATGATTTTTCATGCAATGATATATATTTAATTTATTATAATTATTTTAAGTATAAAGTAATTCTAAAGATACTTGTATGAGAATAGGAAAAGTGTATAAAATAATTATGATTATATCGTTCGTATTTTACTTTATTAAAGGCATAAATAAATTTTGGAATTTATGACAATATAAAATAAAAAATCAAATATTACAAATGGCACAGCCGTTGTTTTATTAATAAGCTTATCGATTTCTCTAAACTTACAAATAATAAATATATATTACAAGTCCTACTAAAAGTAGACACATAAGGACATCATTGGTGTTTTTGTCAGTTTGTTTCTTAATTTACTTTATAACATCGACATTTACAAATAATACAGTTCTTACATGAATCACTATCACAAAAGCTTAATTCTTACCGACGTTTTCTACATACTTTCACCTTATCTTTTTATTGGACGTTGTATCGATCTTTTTAACGACATATGATCAAATTTTATTTTTAATTTTGCTTCTCTCTTCATTATTGCTTCTTGACGCTTTCTTTCTATATCGGCAGCTGTAGAAAGTAATTGCGATCTGTCACAATTACTTATTCTATGTACATTTGATTGCTGGTCAATAATCGATTTATCAATAGATGAACTAGACTGTATTCTACGCCAACTTTTACCTTGCAACGTATAATTTGAATCATAGTAATTTGATTTTACATTTTGACTAACAGAACTCTTAATCTGTTCCTTTTCTTGTTGCGCCGAATTTAGATTAAAATTAGAATTACTCTTGTAATTATTGCCAATATTATTATTTGAATTATTTTGATGTAAGAAATTTGAATCCGAATAACTTTTAGCCTTAAATAATCTTGTATTGCTACTTTTGGTGCTAATACTACTATTACTATCGCTGTTTTGGGTTTGCGACTCGTAACCCGAACTATTATTGTTCCTTACATAGTTCTTATTCAAGTATCCAAAGCTGGCTTTTGTATTGATGACTTTATTTTGAACAGAGGCATTCGAAGTTTGAAAATTGTTTGTATAATTATTAGTTGCGGAACTACCTTTTGGCAGTGCAATGTAAGTTGAGTTTTTAGATTGAAAGAATTTATTTTGACTTGAATTTTTTTGTGAATTCAACGTGCTCGCTCCTACTGATTTATTGTTTCCATTAGTTTTACTATTCTGGCCAACCGATTTACACGAATTATCAATAGGAACTTGATTACTTTTGCCAATATCTTTATCGTCAATACCGACAAAAAATTCATCGAAAGAATCATCGGGAATCTCGAGAGAACCGGATTCTTTTTTATTTGTAGGTGAGTTTTTGTCACCGATAAGTCTTTCGTTATTATTTAATGATCGTTGATTTTCTTTAAATAATGTTATGCACGTTTTTTCCAAACTTGCATCTGGAGACATACTTTTCTCTTGCGAACTATTATTATATTGCATCTTTGTATTACCATACTCTTTTGCCTCTACCTCTTGACTACAAAGAACCATTATGTCTTCTATCGAATCATCCAATAATGCATTATAGCTCTTTTTTATATCCATCGTATCTTCTATCGAGGACTCATTTTGAATAGCTGATACCTGCAGCTTAATATCGGAACAATCTGTAGGTTGGCTATCTAGCTCAACAATCAATCGGCTCTCGGTTTCATCTTTGGCGTTTGAAACGACCTCTGTGTTTTTTTCTCCAATTTGTTTCGCTTTCATTTCTATTGCCTTGAGTTCTGCCATAAATCCTGCCATGTGTTCTTGTTGCTCTTCTTGTATGAGTTTCTTTTTCAGTGGCTTATAAAGTAAAGGCGAATTGGAATTTCTTTTTTTAGGCAATAGAACACTTCGCTTGGGTGTCCTACTTATTTCCATTGATATTGGAGATTTGGCACCTTCATCCTTTTTAATAATTCTTTGATAATCCCATCCAACTTCATTTGGCGGATGTTGCGTTAATGGCTCTAGCGGACTTTCGTTATAATTCATATCTGGGGAATCGCCGCAATCTATATTACATCGGTTTTTAATCGGAGTACTGTGGTCCACATACGATTTAGAGCGAGGCGTCGCTGCTAATTTAATTACTTTGACTTCGTCCGACGACGATGTACCGATCTCTTTAAAAAATAATGCAATATAGTTAAATCATATATAAATAACAAGGTCTCATGCGATAATAACAAATCAGTTATATCATTATAAATGTATTGATTTAAAGCAACAGGATAAAAATGATAAAAACATGTTTTTTTTTTCTAATGTAATTATTATTAATTTCTCTTGTAATTACGAGTAAAAACAAATTGACAATTACTTAACATCAGGCATTACACAAATACATTAAAGCTTTAATCATTTTAATAATCATTTTAATGCTAGATTTGTAGAAAAAATCTATATATACATTGGCCTGATCATTTAAATGAATTATTTTTCGTGAATGAAATTGTAATAGGCTACTACACACAATTACCAACTAGTTATCCAATCAGAAACAATTTAAATTACAAATCATGAAGTTCAAACCAAATCAATGATATAAATAAATCAAAAATTTTTATTTACCATCATCCTCGAACAATATTGGCGAATTTTTTAAAGATTTTTTTGATTGTTTATATTTTTTATTCATCTTAACGCCCTTACAGTTGAATACCGCAGTCTTGAGGTTATGGACAAAGAATATTACATGTTACACAATACACTCAAATTCCATACATAAACCATCCGCATACTGCTTACATTACCATACGCGCGGTTTTTTTTTTTTATACTAGTGCTGACAACTTCATATAATATAAAAATGTACTCGATGTAATTAAAGCTTTTATATTAAATTAATTGTCATAATAAATCAGACGGATTATTAGTAGCGGTCTAATAATCTAGCGATTCCAAGTGTCATTATGAGATTAATTTTAAATTTAAATAATTTCACGTCACAAACATCTATATTGTGATTATTCTTAGTTATTGTTACGGTCAAACAGAAAATAATAATACAATTTACCAACGTAACAATAGTCTCTAAAATAATGATAAATCTATTCAAAAAATTATGACGACTGCGATCGAGCATAACTGTCCTCCTCGGCACTCTCGAACAATTCTAATAGACAGTCGACAAATTGTCACGATTGCCAACTGCTGCCTCGAATGGGAAAATTCGAAAATGGATTTTCTTCTTTGCGTAACACGACAATGGGAAACTGCAGGATGAATTAATCGGTGTGTTCAAGCATGTGTTGTGCGCTTGGTGATTAAAGATGGTGAAAAAAAAAAAAAAAAAAGTAAAAAGAAAATTCAATCTACGGATAATAGTACGGATTATGGGATGAAATAAAATAATAGAAAGAAAGGCATTATTCGTATTGTAATATGATTAACGTATTTTCAACAATTTCCTTTTAGTTTGCTATTCATACCTAAAATGTAAAGTCTCGAGTGTATTTGTTCTCTCTTCAATATTACATATATTCTACTATTGCTTACAAATTCTGACGATTTACATTTTATTGTTGATTATATAAAAGATAACAAGGTTACAAAAATTATAACAATGGCTGGGGCTGGTATATCAACTTGTAAGTAAATTAATTACAATAAGAATTGGATATTAAGTAATATTTATCATTAAATGTGTAATCGATAGTCAATCATATATATATATATATATATATATATATATATTTATTTATTTAATACATTTAGCTGCAGGAATTCCAGACTTTCGTTCTCCAACAACTGGATTGTACGATCACTTGGAGAAATATAATTTACCATATCCACAAGCCATTTCTGAGATAGAATTTTTCAAAAGCAATCCCAAACCATTTTTCGTGCTTACAAAGGAGCTACTTCCCGAAGGATATAAACCAACAAAATCACACTATTTGTTCGAAAATGTGTGATTCTGGCTCACACTACCAATGTTCGATAGCTTATTATGATTTGCCGCCTGTCCTTGGGAGCTTGGGATCCCGTATGCTTGGGAAGGAGGCAAGTGAAAGGGGTTTACATCGATACAACATGCGCTTCTTCATTTAATACGGTTTATTCACAATTACATTATTGTTGTGTTCGAATTATGAGATGGAAGGATGTATACTATTGTCTAGAATAGACTAAATTCCCAGATGTTTGGTGGCAGGACTGCGGGCAAGCAGAAGGGTTAGTCCATTTGTTCAATAATTAATAACACATTTGCTTATCGTGCTGTTTTGTTCCCTTTATTTTACAGACTGCACAATGAATATGATTCTAAGATAGTGTTGAGAATCTGTGAGATCTTGCAGTTTGGTGGTAGTTGCCACGTGCCGTTAGCATGCACTACATGTAGAGGTCAGAGGTGTAAAACTCCTGATCCTCCGATCTAGTGCGCTTGGTGTTAAATAGTTACACCGAATGCAAGAGTTCCTAAATCTCTGGTACTTCTTTGTGTAATGCCAAGTGACGGTAATGAAATGCCCTTCGCGGCTGCTACCTTTTGCACTGTTCAAGGCCGTTCGCAGGTGCTTATCTTTCAACTAAATTCACAGAACTTCTAGAATATTCGAGGAGTCCAGAAAGACAAAGCTTTGGAAGGTTGGAGAATCTCCAATCGACGTTGCTATGCGGAAATATTATAGGACACCCGAAAATTAAGGCGTAGAATATTCGAGAATTCGCAAATTCAATGTTCACAAAACGTAAGCGTCCGAGAGCTTGTACCTTTCCTATTTAAATTTCTTCGATTTTGCTCCAATCCCGAACATCAATTCATTTGATGATTACATTTCCTTGTTTACCTTGTCTTCCGCGGGGATTGGCAGTGTCGCTAGGGTGTTAATTGGTCTCATGATAGTAGCTGAGGCGGTTTTCAAGCTGACAACCCTGGTCAATTCGTCCTTGTCACGATGGAAAAGCAACTAAAACATAATGTCGTATGTGTTTCAAAAGATTCTATAGAGATCTGTAAGAATTACAACGCAAACAATTCCATGGCTGTGGTTCCAAGCGATACAACCCATAACATAATATTTATATGTGTTATAGATATAGACTGTTTTTGCTTTTATTTTTGTTTTTATTAGAAAGTTCTTTAGATAATAAAATCATTCTTAATGAAAATTTTTATTAAAAAAGAAAAGAGGAGAAAAAATTCCATACGAATATCAATCATAATTAATTATACATAATTACAGAGTTTATCGTTCGCTACACATTTGTATTAAAATCTATGAGTGTAGTAGTAAAACAAACTGTAGAATATGATTAAAATACATGAAAATTTTTATTAAACGAATAAATATTTATGCTGTAGCTGGCGTGAATAATTGTAATTATATGTCATTTCATCGCAAATGGCGTGACAATAACTTGTTCCGATTGACATTGATGTAACTGGCCGATGCCAACAGCTGACGATGCTAGAGGCTCTCGCCCAGAATACCGTAACTAAAAGATTTTAAATAATTTAGAAATTAGTCGGTCTAGAGCTGTAGATATAAATGACGATATAATGTATAATAATCCATACTTGACGGCCACATAGATTTTCAAATCGAGGCTTAATAAATGTCCAAGCTCCCATATTTTGTGGTTCCTCTTGACTCCAAATAAAAGCTTTAATAATAATAATATATATATATATATATATATATATATATATATATATACATGTATAATAATTATTATTACAAGGTAAGCTCAAAGTAAAATGAAATCGTTTTTATTTAATTATTAGTTGCATTTGTAATTCAAAATCTATACTTATATTTATATTCTCTTACTTGGCTTATACTAACTTTTTGTATTTTTATATTTTTGTATTTCTTCGTTAAGTTCAACGACCGGGAAAGGACATAGACTCTCCACTCTAATAATCGCTACGTCATGAATTCTTTCGGCCTCTCTGTATTTCTCAAGAGCGTAATAGTGTTTGCCACTAACTAGTATCACTTTACGGACTGCATCCTCATTCACCTTGTTATCGCATCCTGCCAAATACATACAATGTTTGATTAATGTTTAAAATTTTGAAAATACATGCTCGGATCATCGTATATAAATGAATCTTAGAGATAATTGGAATCCAACTTCATTGGTATATCAGATAATATATGCTTCATCGTTACTCTTCGAATTATTCACGAGATATTTTGAGCTTTAATAAATGTAAGATACATTTTCCTTAATTTAACTGACTGTGCAAGAAATTAGAATATAACTTGATCATGAAAGTATGAACGTACCTATAATGGGCCTAAAATTCGTGCCTGGAGCCATTTCCTCAAATGTCGATGTAGCCAAAATGTTTCTCAGTAATATCTTTGGGGCTATGACTATTAAAGGCTTCCGAAAATCCCTCACCATCTTACAGAAAATTTGCAATTATTATTTTCAATGTTATCGAAGCTTCATTTATTTCGCTATATTAAAAACTTGTACTTTAGGGAGATTATGTCGATTATTACGAGCAAGTGGCATTTATTTACGAATCGTACGAACTCTCGTCGGGGAAGGCATTTATCTTTTTACATTAAGAATGTTCCGAAACTGGCAAAAAAAAAAAAAAAAAAAAAAAAAAAAAAAACTCTGGATTCATCTCCGATACTTTAAGCCATTGGAGACATTGTTGGCATACTCGCGAGAGAATTCGGCCGAGTTGTCCATGCTAATAAATACTAAATAAATAAAAGATAAACGGAACGTCGGAAAAATGATATCAAGTTGAACAATAAAATCAAAGGAATAATCTAGCAGAGCTTTCTCAATTCTCAAAGCCGTGGCGGTAAAGTTGCGCCCTTACTTGTCGCCTCAGCAGGTGGAAGTACTGGGCCGGTGTCGTGGGATTAGCCACCTGGATGTTGACGTCGTCGCCGTCGGGCCGGTCTTCCTTACTGTCCGTTAGCTGGAGGAAGCGCTCGAGTTTGCAGGAGCTGTGCTCGGGCCCGGCGCCGTCGTAACCGTGGGGCAGGAGGATCGTGAGGCCACTCGACGTCATCCACTTGGTCTCCCCGCTCGTGACGAACACGTCGATTATCAATTGCGCCCCGTTGGCAAAGTCGCCAAACTGCGCCTCCCAGATTGCCAGGGTGTTGGGCAGGGTGATGCTCACACCGTACTCGTAGCCGAGCACCGCCTCCTCCGAAAGAATACTGTTTGCCAGCTCGAGTTTGCCCGTTTGATTATCCGCCATGGAGTTTAGGGGTATGTAGATCGCTACAAACGAGTGGAAAGCAAATAAAGAATTATTGCCAATAAATAAAGTGCTCCCCGGCCACACCCTGTCTCTTCGTCTCGAATCCCCCTCGGTGTTTATTGCACAGTGATAACGAACAGACATTTGCGTTTATTGTTAGTTGCAAAATCTTTAATGTTAGACCCCGTGGAAGTTTGACCGAGAGGCATTTTTGTAAATCGTTGCGCTCGTACATCGCCTCCGCTGGCCATGTCAACAATGACAAATCTCATATCATCGCTCATAAGCTTCCCTCATCTGCATTCCCATTCATTAAAAAGCCCTTAATAACAAGTTTACTCCTGCAAACAAGCTTCCTCTTATCGGCCAACGCTGCCATAAAAATCAAGCCAATTCGTCATTGGAAACGTCATTGGATTCTAAAATTAAGCAGGAGATAAGATCACCTTCCGTCCTCTGATCGACCAGCATGGCGTGCCTTTGTGAAAAAGTCCCGCGGCCGATATCCTCCCCGCTTATCCTCACATTGTAGCCTTGATAAAGCAGACTCCCAAGGGCCATGGCTTCCGCAGTCGACCAGTCGATCTTTTTTCCAATCTCGATCTTTTTCAGCCGTGCGAGAACGTGGGACTTGAGCAGCTGCGGATGGATGCTCTATCGATGCAATTGACAGGCATTATTAACAATGGCCTTTATCTTATGTGGACGGCAATTTTAAGAGAAAAATGCCCGAGCGCTAATGATTAATTAATTCTTCAATATCAAAAGGCGTGCTTAAAGCAGCTTAAAGTTGGCGCGCATACGAGCGAAGACCTTCGGCTCCGATTATTCGCGAGTTACGTGTATTAGAGAAGGAGGGTACCGATAGATCGCTCCTCCCCCCTCCCCACCCCCCATAGATACAACGTTCCTTACGATATTACATTCGTTTAGGTTTTTTTGTTTTTTT